ATGCGCAGTGTTCAAAGTTTCTGTTCATGCTCCTTAGTTTAGGGTGGGTTTGACTGGTGTTGCCTTCTGTCTACTGTTGATCAAGTGGTATAAGAGCTGGTACTGGCTCTTGCCCAGTGGGAGGAGCTTCAGAGGCTACAGTTGTGACTGGGCTGTATGTGCATAATTGCTCTCTCCTGTTGGGTGGGAAGGATGAGGAAAACCCCTCACCCTCAGACAATAAAACAAAACAGAATGCACACATAAGTAACTAACAGTGAAAAGAGAAAATAATAAAATTTATAAAGCAGAAAACAGAAAAAAAAATATGGTAACTAAAAAGAGAAAAGAGGGACAGGACAATGGAGCTATAGAAGAGAAGAGTAAGAGAAAATAAAAGATCAAGATTGAGAAAAAAACTTAGAAAAACCAGGGAGAGGAAAGATGAAAAGAGAGTAGAGAGTAGTAAAGAAAGATCAAAAGGGGGCAAGAAAAGAAGAGGAGAAATGAGAAACTGAAGAAAAAAGGAAAAACAAATGCAGAGATAGAAAGGATAAAATTCAAAGGAATGAAAAGAAAAGAAAGTATAAACAAAAACAATGAAACAATAAAAGGGAAAAAAGCAAACAAAACAAAAAAAACCCAGTGCAGCTGTTGGACCTGGGGGGAGGGGAGGGCTTCTCCAAGCCAAGGAGCTCATGAGGTGGGCATGGGAGGGATGAGACAGCAGATTTCCTAGACCTAGATGGAGTTCCTATCGGACTTGGTAATAATACCAAGTGTTCAGGGCACTCAGTCTGGAAGTAGTTTGTGGGGGCCCTTGATGGAGCTGGTTTCAGTGTGTGTCAGGACCACAGGGCAGCTATGAGCAGAGTGACTGGTTAAATGCTGGCCTGGTGACTTTGGGTTCTGTAGATCTGGAACCGAGCCTGCCTGAATCCATGCCTCACACCATACACAAATACAAATTCAAAATAGATTAAGGACCTAAATGTGAAAACATATTGTTATTAAGAGACGTCAAGTCAGTTCCAACTCATAGTATAGGGTTTCCAAGGAGTGGTTGGTGGGCTTGAACCACTGACTTTGCAGTTAGCAGTACAGTGTTTATCCTATAGCACCACTTCAGGACTCAAAAAAAAAAAAAAAAAAAAAAAAAGAGAAATGGGAACACTAAAACCATAAAATTCTTAGAAGAAAATGAAGGGACAATGCTGTAAAGATGAGCTTTGTTTTTCTTTTTTTTTCTACATTTTTACTGTGAATTGAGTGACAATTTACATGGGAGAACATCAGCTTTACACTCATCCTATCATATTTCATTTCTTTGCAATGACCACAACCCCCTCCATGCATCATCATTCAACAGTATTTGCTTCTAGTCCCTCTGTTTTTGTTTTTGGATGTACACCGAAGCACTCAGGAATATATACTCATTCAAACAACCAAAGGGCATACCCTACAAGCCTGCCCCCCAGCTGCCAGCACACAGCTCCTCTCCTTCCATGAGTCTAGAGTCCCCAGCCACTCTATCTCTCCAAGTCATGGTCAAGACTTGCTTTTAACAGTGGATTATATAATATAATAACAATAGCAAAAGACAAACAAGTCAGACTTCATAAAAACAAAAAGCTTTTGTTCATCACAAAACTACCCAAAAAAGTGGAAAAACTGGGAGAATATCTTTGGAAATCGTACATCTGATAAGAATCTAATAATAAAAAAATTTAGAAAATTTGATAACAACAAAAAGACAAATAACCAAATCCATTGAATCAATTCCGACTCATAGCAACTCTATAAGACAGAGTAGAATTGCTTAATAGGGTCTCCGAAGCTGTAAATTTTTACAGCGGCAGACAGCTTCATCTTTTTCCCCAGAGCTGTTGATGGGTCTGAACCCCTGAACTTGCAATTAGCAGCCCAATGCTTAATCCACTGCACAACCAAGATTCCTTAAAATAGACAAAGAGTTTGAATAAACATTTCACTGAGGAGGACATTCAAATGCCCACCAAACACATGGAAAGAAACTCAACATCATTAACCACCCTTATAACCCATTGCTGTCAAGTCAATTCTGACTCACAACAAATCTATAGTACAAAGAACTGCCCCATAGGATTTCCAAGGCTGTAATAAGGAGCTCTGGTAGTGTAGTGGTTATGAATCGGGCTGCTAACCTCAGGATCATCAGTTTGAAACTACCAGCTATTCCGCGGGAGAAAGATAAGGCATTCTGCTCCCATAAAGATTTATAGCCTCGGACACCCTGTACAGGGTCACTATGAGTCGGAACCGATTTCACAGCACATAACAACAACAACAAATCTTTACAGGAGAAGACCGCCATATCTCTCTCTCTTGCAGAGCAGCTGGTGGGTTCAAACTGTTGATCTTTAGGTTAGCAGTTAAGTACTTTACCATTGCCCAGGGCTCCTTTTCATTAGCCATCAGAGACATGCAAATCAAAATCATAATGAGATACCATTTCATTCCCATATAAGAGCAAAGATGTCAGCTTGAAGACTAAGGTGTGCCTGACCCAAGCCATTGTATTTTCAATAACTCATATGCATGCGAAAGTTGGACAATGAATAAGGAAGACCATAGAAAAATTGATGTTTTTGAGTTATGGTGTTGGAGGAGAATATTGAAAGTGCCATGGGCTGCCAAAAGAACCAACAGATTTTTGTTGGAAGAAGGGCAGCCAAAGTGCTCCTTGGAGGCCAGAATGGCCAAACTTCGTCTCTCACACTTCAGACATATTGTCAGGAGGGAGCAGTCGCTGGAGAAGGATATCATGTTTGATAAGGTGGAGGGTCAGAGAAAAAGAGGAAGACCCCAAGTGAGATGGATTGGCAAAGTGGCAGACAGCATCAATGGGCTCAAGCATGGCAACAATTGTGAGGTTGGCCCAGAATCAGGCAGTGTTTCATTCTGTTGTGCATAGGGCTGATTATACTGACTCAGTGGCACCTAACAACAACAACATCAAACCCACAATGAGATACCATTTCATTCCCACTAGGAACCAACTCGATGGCACTTAACAACAAGGATGGCTAAGGCGTCTTGGTGTGGCACTGCAGGATAATGCACTGGACCTCAAGGCCAGTGGTTCAAACCCAGCACTGCTCCTCAGAAACCCTATACAGGGTCTCTATGACTCAGAACTGACTTGACAGCACTTAACAACAACAACAAGGATAACAAAGATAAACAAAAACCAGATAATAACTAATTTTGGCAAGGATGTGGGAAAATTGGAATCCTTATCCATTTGGATAGAAATACAAAATAGTATTTTGTTGTATGTTGTAGAAAACAGTTTGGCAGTTCCTCAAAATACTAAAATTACAACTACCATATAATCCAACAATTTTACTTCTAAGTATATGCAAAAAAAAACTACAAAAACTTGAAAGCAGAGACTCAAACAGAGACATGTACACCAATGTTCATTGTAGCACCATTCACAATAGCCAAAAAAGTGGAAACAACGTAAATTCCCATCAAGGGATGTATGGATAGGCAGACAATGACGTGGAGAGATGGAGTGGCTGGAACTTTAGACCCAGAGAGGAAGAGGAGCTGTGTGCTGATGGCCAGAGGGCAGGCTTATGAAGTGTGCCCTTTGGTACTTGATGTAAAGACTCCTTACCTCAGCTGGTATTTTGAGCTACTATATCCATAAGTATAGGTCAAGTTCATCAAATTGTAGCAATTTCAACTCTCTTTTAAAGTAACAAAATAATTCTCAGTGTGGTTATGCTCACCTATGAGATCCATGCTACCTCCTAGACTTGGAGCTGAGTGGGTCTGATGCGTAGGGTCCCCCTTACTGCTCAGGGACTTTAATAATATTGTTAGTTGCCATTGAGCCAGCTCCAGCTGCTGGTGAGCCCACGCACAACAGAAAGAAACATTGGTCTGCTCAAATTCATTGCTGTGGTCACTGTGTATTTCAGGTGCCTTCCAACATTGGAGGCACATCTTTGAGCACTGTGTCTGACAGTGTTCTGTTGCGATCCATAGGGTTTTCACTGGCTAATTTTCTAAAGTAGATTGCCAGGTCTTTCTTGTTGTTGTTAAGTGCCATCCAGTCTGTTCCAACTCTGTATAGAGTTTCAGAGGAGTGGCTGGTGGGTTTGAACCACTGACCTTGCTATTAACAGCCCAGTACTTATCCTACAATGTCACATATCAGACTCCAGTATGCCTTAATATGGAAGCTCTACTGAAATTCATCTACCACAGGTGCACTGACTGGTAACTGAAATACTGCTGTGGTATCTCCCAGCATCACAGCAACATGAAAGCCACCATAGTACAACACACTGACAGATGGGTTGTTGTTGTTACCCACTACATGACCAGGGCTCCAGTGCAGAATGATGTTGTTGTTAAGTGCCATCAAGTCGGTTCCAACTCATAGCAACCCTGTGTAGAGTTTCTGAGGAGCGGCTGGTGGGTTTGAACTTCAAATCTTAGATTAGCAGTCTAGTGCTTCTCTTACACTGCCACACCAGGACCCTAAGAGATGGGTGGTGGGCTTTAATAATTGCACCCACTGTAATGTACTGCTAAAAGAATTCTGGTGTGGTGCTGTAGAATAAGCACTGGATTGCAAGGTCATTTGAACTGCAAGTTTGGCGGTTCAAACTCACCAGCTGCTCCTTAGAAACTCTATACAGGATTGCTGTGAGTCAGAACCAACTCAATAACACTTAACAACAACAACGATGTGCTGCCAAGAGACAGGGATATATAATACTCAACGCAGAATACAACGGTTGACGGTTCCCAGCTGTAGCACCCGGCAGGTGTGAAGTAAATGTTTGTTGAATTAATCATAGGAGTGGGGATCTGCTCCATCTAAGACTTTTGCAGGCTGGAAAAGGGTCTTCATAGCCCTGGGAAGATTTGCTCTGCAGTCCTACACAGTTTGGTATGTACCATGTGGGAAGAGTGAAGCTAACTTTTCCAAGAACTCAAGCTCTGTCTGGGTTTCCCTCTAGGCCTTCAACACCTTTCTTCGATCTGCTGCAGCACCGATACCAGCAGCTGTGGGTGCAGGAGCAAAAGGCCACCCAGAAAGCCATTAAAATGGAGAAAAAGCACAAGGTAAACATAGTCATCACTCCTGGGTGGCAAACTGTTGGGGTGGTAAGGGAGGGAAGGGCGTGAAGGGCTGGCCCAAGCAAAGCTTTGATCACATTAGCATTTGAATATGCTTGTCATTGTTGTTATTGTTAAGTGCCATAGTGACCTTGCAGTTCAAACTGACCTTGCAGCCCAGTGCATTAACCCACTGGGGGTGGGGAATCAAGTTGCTCTGCTATCCAAGCATCAAGGAGTCCTGGTGTGGTGCTGTAGGATAAGCACTGGATAAGCAAGGTTGGCTGTTCAAACTCACCAGCCACTCCTTGGAAACCCTGTACAGGGTCAGTATGAGTCAGAACCGACTTGGTGGTACTCAGCAAAGACAACGTCCAAGCATCAAAGAATTTTAAATGGGAAAGGATCTTGGCAATTCTCAGGTTCAGTCCCCTATTTAAATCCAGAGTTCATAAAGGACTGGCCTGTCTCTCCAGCAAGTTGGCCCCGTGTGTCTCCTAGGCAGAATTAGAACCCAGCTCTTCTGATTGCTGCCCAGGGTTTCTTTCCACTAAACCTCTCGGTGACATCAAACCAAACCCAACCCACTGCCATCGAGTTGATTCTGACTCATAGCGACCTTATATAAAGTTTTGGAGACTGTAAATCTTTGTGGGAGTGGACAGTCTCATCGTTCTCCTGCAGAGTGACTAGTGGGTTTGAACTGCTGACTTTGAGGTTAGCAGCCCAATACCTAACCTCTGGTCTAGATGGAAATGTACTCTGTGGTTCCATATAATAAGCACTGGACTGAGAAACACAAGATCTGCAGTTCAAGCCCATCAGCTGCTCCATTGGAGAAAGATGAGGCTTTCTGCTCCCTCAAAGATTTAAAGTCTTGGAAACTCTATATAGGATTGCTATCAGCTGGAACCCACTCAACGGCACTTAACAATAGCAACAACACTATAAACAATAAGGAAAAGCTAAAAGGGAAAATCTACTTTAAAGAGATTGCTTTAAAAGAACACATTCTATTGAACTTTGTTGTTGTTGTTAAGTACCATCGAGTGGGTTCCGACTCATAGTAACCCTGTCCAAGGAACGGCTGGAACCGCCAACCTTCAAATTTTGTTAAAATTAGTAAATAGAGGCCATGCTAAATACTTCATGCACATTAGATAAACAATATGGCAACCCTACTGTCAGAGTAGAACTATGCACTATAGGGTTTCCTTTCTTCTATTGTTAGTATACTTTTACAAGTATTTAGTTTGTTGTTGTTGACAATATATATAGCAATTCAACAGTTTCTACAAGCTCCATTTACTGGCAATGATGCTATCCTCACCTTGTTCCTCACTCTCTTTCCTGAGTTGTCCCTCTATTAGCATCATTTCACTGCCCCTCCCCACAAGGTACCTAGTTAACTTTCCAGTGCTGTTGTCAATTTGATCCCATATAAATCTTAAAAGATCATAGTGCTCAAGGCAGACATATTTTACTGGTTAAGCTACAGTGTTCTTTGGCTTTTAGAAGACTTCAGGGGAATATTTCTGGCTTAAGGTTTAAAGATGATCTCAGAACACTAGTCTCAGGGGCTCATAGGATCTTCATGGTTCCAGAAAATCTGGATTCCTTAAGACTTTGAAATTCTGTTTTGCACTTTTTTCCCTTTTGATCAGGATTCTTCTCTAGGATCTTTAACCAAAAGGTTCAGTAATGGTAGCCAGACACCACCCAGTTCTCGTGGTCTCCTAGTGAAGTTGTTTGTGGAGGCAATTAGCCACATATTTCATATCCTCTTCCCATTCCTGATTCTCCAGGCAAATGGAGACCAATTGTGCCTCAGGTGACCACTTGCAAACTTAAAAAACCCAAGGCACTGTGTAATGAGCTAGAAGGTAAAGAACAGAAGCACTAAACATGTTATTAGGCCAATTAACTGGAATGTCCCATGAAACCAGGACCATAAACCTCCAAACCAAGAACCAAATCCTATGAGGTTTTTGGTTGTACATAATCAGCCTCCACAGCTACTCTTCCTTTCTTTTTCTTGTCACTGCTGTAAATATATCTGTCACTCAACATATGCCAATTCAACTCTCTACATGTGCACAACTTATTGACAGCAATTACATTAATCAGCTCTGCCACGCTACCCTTAATCAGTGTGATATTTCCATCACTGTGAGCCCCTATTTTACCCCCTTCCTCCCCTAATAAACTTTGTTCTGTATGGATTCATCCTTTTATATAAGTGAGGTCATATAATAGGTGTGTCCTTTTGCGATTGACTTAATGCCCTCAGCATACTGTCTTCAAGCTAATCCATACTAGTATGCATCAAGACTTCATTTCTCATACTGGCTGAGTAGTATGAGCATGGATCACATCCTATTTATCCATTCATCTGTTGATGGGCATTTAGGTTGTTTACACCTTTTGGCTGTTGTGCTCCATTGTTTTTTTGGGTTTTTTTGGTGTTTTCTTCTTTATTGATGTGCCTCCTACCTTCTCCCAACACACAATTTTAGTCCCTTCCATCTACATCCAAAATAGAAGGTAGTAAGAGGGATTGTTATGATTCTAAGCCCTTTGGGTAGTTACAAAGGGAACAGAAATCAAAACAATCATTGGATGTGAGATTGACAACCAAAAAGTTTGAAGTAGAGTGGGAAAGGTGGCAGGAAAAGGAGGAACAGAGAAAAGAGGTACTAGGGGCCATCTCTACTACCCCTAGTACTAGGAGGGGCTAGAGAGAAAGCCTCAAACATGAAGTAGTACAGGTCCTGAAGAAGGGAGGCGGTGCTCGAGCCTGAAGAAGGAGGGATAGGCCAAGAACGGGGGTGGGGTTGGGTGGCATTTTTCTCTTTGTAGAAAGGGACCTCCCCACCTTAGAGGCAGCCACTTCACAGGCCGTAGACACTTTCATCACTGTAGGCAATGTATAGAAAGAAGTTTTCTTTGTGGTGTTCCTGGTATGACTGGGGGGTGGAATGACATTGTTGACAAAGAAGAACAGGGCGTCTTCAGCTCGAAGATGAATTCGCTTCTGGATTAAGAAGTAGAACTGACCAACTGTGAGACCAGAAGGCACCAAATATTTCTTTTTGTCTAGATCACCTATCCGAGCTTTGGGAGTCTTTTCTACTATCACCAGGACCCAGTCTGGGTATTTCTTTTGGATCTTCTCGCCCTCAGAGTAGCGTTTCTCAAACAGATGCTTCTCTTTATACACGAAAGACGACGGAGGCGACTCGTGGATTCAGCGGCTCCATGGGGTTTTCAATGGATGATATTTTTGGAAAGTAGATCACCAGGCCTTTGTTCTAAGACACCTTTGGGTGATTTTGAACTGCCAACTTTTTGGTTGGCAGCTAGTGTTTAACTGTTCGTGCCACCCAGAGGCTTTCTACATTAAATACATGATCTCATTTATGCCTCCCCAAAGAGTCCGTGGCTCTGTAGGATAAGCAATTAAGCACAAGGTTGGTTTGAACTGCAAGGTCAGAGGTTCCAACTCAGCAGCTGCTACTCAGAAATCCTATACAGGATCTCTATGAGTCAGAACCAACTCAAAGGCACTTAACAACAATAAAAGTCTATGAGGTGGGTGGTGTTATCCCTGTTTTCCAGATGTGGGAATTGAGGCTCCCAGAGATGGGGCCATAGTATGCATGAGGCATCTGAGCTGAGGTCTGACTAGCTTCCAAACCTGTGCAGTCTCCATTGGACCAACATTGCCAATGACTAATAATATGAATCCATAGCAACTGGCAATAAGTCAGCCAGAGAAGAATTTTTTTTTAACCTGGGAAAATATCATTAGCTGTTAATTTGCATTGCCATACATATTTTGAAAATACTAAAATGGTACTTCCTTTAAAATATTCTGAAATTCAGACTTTCTGAGAGACCAGATTGGCTTCATTTCCAGTTGCTCCAAACCAATCATCATAAAAATAAGAATTGCTTTGTGTGCACAACATGCTTTATAGATTTCATTTAAGGGCATGGGTCCAGTGTCTCTGGCTATTACAGCCACAATCCCCCACCACCAAGCTCTGTGCCAAGTGCCAGGTTGAGCACACCCCAGATTCTTGCATTTAGTCCTTACAAAAACACCATGAGGTCGGTTACACCATCTTAGCTTGCTTGATTATTTCATTTGGGGAAACGGAGGCTCAAAGCGATTAAAGGACTTGCTAATGGCTTCAGAGCCATGTCTGGACTTAGTTGTGTCCAACCCCAGAGTCCTGGGTCTTTTGAAGGCCAGGTCCTGCATCCTATAGATTATAGGAAACCTCAGAAAATCCAGAATTTGACAATACCTGTGATTGTCTGAAGGAGTCTTGGTGGCACTGTGGATTAAGTATTAGGCTGCTAACTGCAAGGTGGTGGTTTAAATCCACCAGTGGAAGAAAGATGTTGCAGTCTGTTCATGTAAAGATTTACAATCTTAGAAACACTGTGGAACAGTTCTACTCCATCCTATAGGGTTGCTATGAGTTGAAATCAACTCAGTAGTAGTGTGTTTGGTGGGTTTAGTGATGCTCAAGGGTCAAATTGAACTTAAGAAGAAGCTTATCAGGAATCCTGGTCCCCTCAGTTATACAGTTATATATTCCTGATATATAACTGATAAGAGGGTCTGAGGGTTCCCCAGGCCCATGGCTGGGTGCAGGGGCCCCTCCTGGCTGTTGTCAGTATCCCTAACTCACTGCTCCCTTAGTAGTCAGCAGAGTCTGAATGGTCGGCTCATCAAAGAGCACAGCGTTGTAATAACATTTTAAAAGCAGCCCATGACTAGTTTACTCCTTAATGGCTTGAGCAAGAGTCAGTTTACGATAGTAATGACTGGTTTCAGAGGGAGCATTGCCATTACAAACTGTTTTATAGCTCAATATGACAGCCGTGTTTTTTAATTAAGCAGCTATTTTGTGGCAACCAAGAGTCGACAGAGCCATGGAAACCCAAGCCTCAGGAGACCGATTCTCTGACTCTATGAAATGATCTTGCTGAGA